TTAATTTTACGTTACTTCATTTTTGAATGCAAATTACAGCCAAACCGCGAAAGCTACAACTAATACTCAATATACGTTTTATTCCCCATACATTCAGCTTTAATTTCAATCTTTAATATCTAATCTACCTATTGTAGGTTTTGAGTAATTCACTTAAATCTGAAGATACTGCTTTTTGAGGCTTAATTTTACGTTACTTCATTTTTGAATGCAAATTACAGCCAAACAGCGAAAGCTACAACTATTACTCAATATACGTTTTATTCCCCATACATTCAGCTTTAATTTCCATCTTTAATATATAATCTACCTATTGTAGGCTTTGAGTAATTCACTTAAATGTGAAGACACTGCTTTTTGAGGCTAAATTTTACGTTACTTCATTTTTGAATGCAAATTACAACCAAACTGCGAAAGCTACAACTATTACTCAATACACATTTCATTCCCCATATATTCAGCTTTAATTTCCATCTTTAATATCTAATCTACCTTTTGTAGATTTTGAGTAATTCACTTAAATGTGAGGACACTGCTTTATCTAAGCTTAATTTTACGTTACTTCATTTTTGAATGCAAATTACAGCCAAACAGCGAAAGCTACAACTATTACTCAATATACGTTTTATTCCCCATACATTCAGCTTTACTTTCCATCTTTAATATCTAATCTACCTATTGTAGGCTTTGAGTAATTCACTTAAATGTGAAGACACTGCTTTTTGAGGCTTAATTTTACATTACTTCATTTTTGAATGCAAATTACAGCCAAACAGTGAAAACTACGACTATTATACAATACATGTTTCATTCCCCATATATTCAGCTTTACTTTCCATGTTTATTATCTAATCTATCTATTGTAGTGTTTGAGTAATTCACTTAAATCTGAAGACACTGCTTTTTGAGGCTTAATTTTACGTTACTTCATTTTTGAATGCAAATTACAGCCAAACAGCGAAAGCTACAACTATTACTCAATACACGTTTCATTCCCCATACATTCAGCTTTAATATCCATCTTTAGTATCTAATCTACCTATTGTAGGCTTTGAGTCATTCGCTTAAATGTGAAGACACTGCTTTTTGAGGCTTAATTTTACATTACTTCATTTTTGAATGCAAATTACAGCCAAACAGCGAAAGCTACGACTATTAATCAATATACGTTTTATTCCTCATACATTCAGCTTTAATTTCCATCTTTAATATCTAATCTACCTATTATAGGCTTTGAATAATTCACTTAAATGTGAAGTGTTAATTTTACGTTACTTAATTTTTGAATGCAAATTACAGCCAAACAGCGAAAGCAACAACTATTACTGAATATACGTTTTATTCCCCATACATTCAGCTTTAATTTCAATCTTTAATATCGAATCTACCTACTGTAGGTTTTGAGTAATTCACTTAAATCTGAAGATACTGCTTTTTGAGGCTTAATTTTACGTTACTTCATTTTTGAATGAAAATTACAGCCAAACAGCGAAAGCTATGACTATTACTCAATACACGTTTCATTCCCCATACATTCAGCTTTAATTTCCATCTTTAATATCTAATCTACCTATTGTAAGCTTTGAGTAATTCACTTAAATGTGAAGACACTGCTTTTTGAGGCTTAATATTACGTTACTTCATTGTTGAATGCAAATTACAGCCAAACAGCGAAAGCTACAACTATTACTCAATACACGTTGCATTCCCCATATATTCAGCTTTAATATCCATCTTTAGTATCTAATCTACCTATTGTAGGCTTTGAGTAATTCGCTTAAATGTGAAGACACTGCTTTTTGAGGCTTAATTTTACGTTACTTCATTTTTGAATGCAAATTACAGCAAAACTGCGAAAACTACGACTATTACTCAATACACGTTTCATTCTCCATATATTCAGCTTTAATTTCCATCTTTAATATCTAATCTACCTTTTGTAGGCTTTGAGTAATTCACTTAAATGTGAAGGCACTGTTTTTTGAGGCTTAATTTTACGTAACTTCATTTTTGAATGTAAATTATAGCCAAATAGCAAAAGCTACAACTATTACACAATATTAATTTTATTCTCCATATATTCATCTTTAATTTCCTTCTTTAATATCTCATCTACCTTTCATAGATTTTGAGTAATTCACTAAAATGTGAATGTGCCATCAAAACAAACAATAAATTTTCCACACGAGTCTGCAATCTCGGCGAAGCGTTATTGCAAATCCTTATTACATTCATTGCCATTGTCGATTTCTCGTCTTCTTTTATTCGTCTCGTTAAAATCCACTTCGCATCAAACAAACAAACAAACAAACAAAACAGCTCTAATCGAATCAGTGGTTCCAAGAAACTACAACAGCATGGCGACTATCTTAATTGCTCGTTGCGTTAAAATGCATATAATAACCTGAACCATTTCAGTCTCAAGCAGGACACAAGCCAGATGTGACACAACTATTATACAACCGCAATATTTTCCGAGCGAAGTGCACTCAGGTCAAAACGTTACGCAACATTTAGTTTGTTGATGTTTTTTTCTTTTTCATTTCGTAATTTCTGTATAAAGATTATTTTCTTATTTCTACTGTAATTTGATTTAATATAATCATTACACTTTATAGTTTCTCATCGTAATTTGTTGGTGTCTGGTTGAGAGATGATTACTACCTTTTGTTTTACTTAATTAACTTTCTTTTAATAGTGTGAAATCAATTGAAATTTCCAATTTCCATCCATAAAAAGTGAACGAAACGAGATGGAAGAAAAAAGAAAACAGTGAGAGTTAAATCACAAGAGTAATGTGAGCGAGTGTATCCTATTGTGAGCGAGGCGCAAATTGGCTTTGTAATTATCCGCGATTGTTGTGTATGGAAATGGCGTCGAGAACTGATTAATAGTTAAAAGAAAACCAACGAAAGAAGAAACGTTTATTTATTTACTTTTTTTTTAATACTTACGGCTCGAAGATTGGAAATTCCATAGCTTCGTTATGTTCTGTTTCGGTCCACCTGGATGAGTTCAGAAGTACCTGGGCTCATGCTTCCCAGAAAGGTGAAAGGCAAAGCAATATTTTTAGTTAAGATGTTTGTAAAAAAAATGGAAAAGAAAAAGGATTGAAATAAATAAAGAAAAATAAAGACTCTCACGTGTACGTATATGTATGTATATATAAAAAAAACAAATATCGTTTAATCAGATTTTAAGAAATAATATGTCCTTCCTTTACATCTTTACATTCATTTGATACATATTTACAAATTATAATCATAATCATGGCGGGAAACAGGAATAATAATATAATAATAATATATTTATAATAGAATATCAATAATTGCCTAATGTTAAATATAGAGTTCGTATCAATTATATAACACTAATATAATCGTAATAAGGTACAAAATAATAAAACATAGACAAAAAAAAACAATAATAATAATATGTGTGTATATATATATAGTAACAGGAAGATAATATCATTCAGAATTACAATCAGGATTATAAAAGCATGCAATTGTAGGGTGAGGGAAGATGTATTTTTTTTTGTTTCCAATATTTCAATCTTGGGTCCATATATAAATAGTTGGGGGGTTGCAATCGCATGCAATTACAATAATAGATTTGCGAAGGAATCGAAGAGCCAAGAATCGTAACTTGTTGGCTCTCCAATAGAAGAAAGAAAAGAATATTAATTACACGAAAAGCCAAAAAGAAAAAACGTTAATAATTGTGTTTAATTCGTTTCTTGCATTGGTCGTTAAATGATGTGTGCAAAAATTTGTTGTCAACAAAAAGAAAATGGTTCAATTTCGAATTACTTAAAAATTAAATGAGCACCTTTGGTTCTGGTAAAATGAAATGAAGAAATTATAATAATAATACAACAACAAGGAGATTGCAAAACCACATCACGATCTTTCGGTTTCTTTCCTCCCTTTCTTTTCGTCTATATTGATTGATGTTTTTTTTTCTATAGAAAAAAAGAGAGGAGGAAGATGAAGAAAGGTAAGCAGTTTGAAGGGAAATTAACCTTTGCTGTGCTAACGTTCTCTATGTAATTTGTTTTTTTTATTTATAATAACTCAATAAGGTATGTAGATTGATCTACATGCTAATTGATTGTTAATTCAATGCGTTTATAATGTAATCGTTCGTATTGGATTGGTAACGTTTACTATAATGAATGGAGTTGCTTGGGTTAAGTTCCCTTCCCGTTACGACTTATTACCTAGAATTGCACATTTCGACATAAATATATTCATATTGTAATTAATTTGTTTACGTAATAATATATTAATATATAATATAAAAAAGCGCATGGGAATAATATTCGGGATGTTTTCGCACTGCTTTCTCGGTTCTACTTAACAACAAACATACATACGGTTTCACTTTCTGCGTGCAAGAAGCTAAGTTTTTTTCTTTTATGGTTGTTGTTTTGTTCTCTAAATAAATTGGATTTTCGGTTAACATCGCCGTCGTCGTAGAAGATGGAAACATCCCATGTGAGTTATCAGACTCTTCTCTTCATTATTATCAACTCGTTTCACTTAATTAAATCTCTGAACGGACTCATCACAATTTTTAAAGTAACAATGAAGATGATCGATAAATTTATTTAATATGAATAGAATGGAGATCCATCGAAAATTCCAAAGTACAAAAAGATGCGAGACGAACCGCGTCTTTCGGTTCGAAAGATTTACAAATTTTTTTTTTCGTTTATTTATTTATTTATTTTTTTTACTGTTAGTCTTGAGGCAAGATCCGCGGCGCTCCTCCACGTCGGTGGTGGCGGCCGAGACAACAAAGGTGACGTCTCTTAGGCGGTAAAGCTGCAACCAAGTTGCTGCTTTAGTATACAATAATATGGAAAAAATAAAACTACATCTTCTTTACCTCGTTTTCTTCTTGCACATCTTCGCCAGTTTCCTCCGTTTGAGGATCATTTCGTAGAGGACCTCGAGACCTTCGTGAAGGCCGTCCCCGGTGATGGCGCAGGCAGGCTGCACGTGCCACAGGTGTCCTCCGGAGCTGCCGCCTCCCAGCTCCGTCAGACCTAAGAGCTTCTCCAGATCCCTGGGTTCTCGAGCTCCCGGTAGATCCTGCTTGTTCGCCAGCACCAGGATCGGGACTCCGGTGTTCTCCGGCGATTTCACAGTCCGGATCAGTTCCATTTTGGCCTCCTCCATACGTTCCACATCAACACTGTCCAACACAAACACTATTCCATCCGTGCACCTCGTGTACGACTTCCACAGAGGTCGCAGCTTCTCCTGACCGCCGACGTCCCACACCAGGAAGTTGATGCCTTTCGCCTTTCCGATCATTCCCTTCACCTTCTCGCAGTTGAAGCCGATCGTCGGGACCGTGTTCAGGTATTGGTCGAATTTGAGCCGGTAAAGAGCCGTCGTCTTTCCGGCCGAGTCCAGTCCCAGCATCACCACGTGAAGAGTTCCCTGTCCAGATGGCAGCGCATCCAGCAGCGACGTGTTCTTTCCCATATTCGCCCCCATTTTCGTACCGATCCTATTACATCCTCTTCAGAAATAAACTCATAATAACACAAGTTATCTCCTGCAACAAAAATACAAAAAAAAATCATGAATACAAATTAGTTTTAAAAAAATACAAAATAAATAAAGAAACATGAAAACAACATCAAAACATCCTTTACATTTCTTGGAAATCACTATAAAACTATAAAAAATCAGATCAAAAATTAAGAAAAACTTCAACTTATAATATACAACAACAATTATGTAATTAATCTACCAAGGATAATTAGATAAAAATCCGTCTGGAAGGTTTAAACTGAATGAAAATGTCGTTGAACCAGATTACGTTTATTTTTTCTAGTTCCACCAATTAATTATAAAATTAATTAAAGGCACACTCGCGGAAATCTAATTAGTCGTCTGCCCTCACCGAAGCCTGAACACGAAATGCTTCAAGTTATTATTTTATATATTTTTTTATTCTACTTCTTGTATTTTTTCGTATATATATATATAAAAATATATATTTGCGCTGTTCTCTTCACGTTCGTACGCGTGATTCATATTTGAAAAAATGTCGGCTGTATTTTCATCCCGAAAAAAAACAAAACAAAACAAAAATCTATGAATAATACCCGGAGTTATCTTCACGACTTCCTTTCCAATTAGTAAAGTAAACACGTTTCTGGCTTCCCCGACGTTTCTTAAAATAAGGGTGGATAAAAGTAGATTCGGTTAGATTGTTGCAAGGTGTAGTATTAGGTTTGATTGAATTTAGTTAAAATTGATGTGGTAACGATGCTGTATGTTTTCATTGAGCTGACGCTGCTCGACTGACTGTGTGTATGTATGTGAAGTAATTACGCCTCTGTGCAGAGCCATAATAATGCATGTCCGTCCAATTGTAAAGGCCCTTTCTCCATCTCTATCCGACCCATCGACCATCCGCGCATCCATTCACTCGTCTGGGTCAACAAAAGAAAAAACAGCGCATTCCTGCTGTTAAATACTTTAAACACATGCTTTTGATACATCGTCGACCATCCAGAGAATGCGTACAACTTCCGCAACTAATCCGATCGATCACCACTTCGAAATCCGACGTCTGTCACAGCTAATGGACACAGCACATCGAGGACCCTCCTCGCTTCATTTCGCACATCGCTGCTCACCAACTGTTATCCTTCTTATTAACTTAATATATACTTTCTTAATATGTTATTAACATTAATTCTTGGACTTAATTAGCGCTCGACTTTTATTGCCTTCATTAAAATGTGTCTTTTGCACTTTCATCGTAATCAGCAGCAATAAACAAGGATTATATATATATTTTTTTTTACTTTTTCTCATTTCGATATAGGCGTAAAATGCATACGGGAATTGAAGAATATCGCCCCCAAGGACAGCAATAAACATGTTTATGGTCGGCCACACAAGCAACAGGTCTTAGATAAATGTTTGTATTATTTCCATATCATTTACATTCAGTAATAACGTCACCAGATGAAGACAAATGTTAAGACATCTTATGTATTCGGATCATTGATTTCTAGTAAACATTCATACGACTCTCAAGAAACTATCAAATACCAATTCAATTATACTTAACTATAGATCAATTTTTATTTGTACACCTTTTAAGAACTATATAGAACTATAGAAATTCTGGTGAAAAAATGTAGATGAGATGAGGAAAAGGATTGATTATTTGATTCATAAATCCAAGCCAAAGGAAAGAAGTTAATCGTGATTGCAAATATTTAATTAACATAATTTTGAAATGTAAACTGATCAAAATTAGTTTTTTTATTGAATAATCTATACTAATTAAGCTTACAAAAACTTCCTAAATATTTCTACAATAAATATTTACTAATTTAAAGAGAATTGTGTAAATAAAAGGTATGTCAATAAAATTAAAGCAAAATATGAATCGTTACAATGTTGCATAATTCTAAGGAAAATAGTTACACATTGAATAACATACGTGTATACATAATAATTATTACAAGCGTAAACTATAATAGTTTGTTTTCTCCCACTAATTGCATCTGCACTATACCTGTTCTGTATCCTCTAATTATTTGAGAAAGTCGATGGATTTGCAATATTTCCACACGTTTCTTCTTTGGCATTTAATTTCCGCACTTCTACCAATTGCACCGTAGACAGGAATACGTGAGGAAGGAAAACGATAGTAAACTATGGAAGTTCGACAGTGCGCGTGTATAATCGAACAATGAATGAATCGAAACATTAATATCTGAGCGGATAAAGGGCCGGAAATGTATTATTATTTTGTTGTTCGCTTGAAATCG